AGATGTTTATGTTTATGTATTTAGCAGACGCTTTTGTCCAAAGCGACTTACAAGTGATAATCGGCATGTTGCCCTTGAGGCAAACAACAACAATAACAACAACAACATGACATCAATCATGGAGAGGAGGGAACAAAGGAGTGGACGGTAGAGAGGGGGACGGGTGCAGGGAGGGTGCTAGTTTAGAAGATGCTCTCTGAAGAGCAGGGTCTTCAGGAGTTTCTTGAAAATTGAAAAGGAAGCTCCTGTTCTGGTAGTGCTTGGTAGGTCATTCCACATTTGTGGAACGATGCACGAGAAGAGTCTGGTTTGTCCTGAGCATGGTGTAGGCACTGCTAGCCGACGATCCTGTGATGGCCGGAGCGGCCGGGCCGGGAAGTAAGCCTTTGCAAGAGGATTCAGGTGGATGGGAGCCGTACCGTCTCAGACTTTGTATGCTAGTGTTAGCAACTTGAATTTGATGCGTGCTGCTAGCGGTAGCCAGTGGAGCTCAATGAACAGAGGGGTGACGTGTGCTCTTTTTGGCTGATTGAAGACCAGACACGCCGCTGCGTTCTGGACCATTTGAAGAGATTTGAAGAGGTCTTACAGTACAGCCTGGAAGACCAGTTAGAAGGGTTAGGGTCGGATTGCACTTATTGTTTTCAGTTGGCCCAAACCGGAGCTACTAGACAACAGGATTACCCACAGATGCGCCCTGAGAACAGCCACTGTAACATTCTCAAAGTGTCTCCACCTCACAAACAAATTTAACACGTGATCGTTTATGTCGGCTCATATCCTTTCATGCTTTCCTTCTTTTATTTGTGCCTGATGCGTTTTACTGCTGCGGTGCAGAGCGCATCACCTGTTTCGTCCTCTTGTGAAGTCACCTCACCAGGGCGGTCAGCGCGCACTCCGCTGTTTTTGCAGTCGGTAGATCTTTTAGAACTGCAGTTCAAAGGTAACTCATAAGGTGAAAAAATATGAACCCAAGTAGCAGTTTTTCTTTAGGATTGAGAGGAGATGCAGGAAGATAATAAACATGCAGGACAGAAAAATAGTCAAATAAAAACAAGTTAGTTTTTGTACCTGGTGGTTGCAACAAACAGACACCATTGAAGGTAATCAGAAGTGAGGAACAGAAAATGAAATAATTATTTCAATGTTTAGAGCAGCAGGAACTCCGAGAGGCTGCAGGCGCATCAGTGAGTTTGCGGCTGCTGCGGGGGCGGGGGTGGGGGGATTTGGGGCATGGACTGGGACATTAATTCAGGCCGGGAATTTTGAAACCATCCCAGGGCACCGCCCAATTCCCTCTAAACACTAAAAGTGAGTCAGGTTGGGCGCCTGCTGATGTAAAAGTGTAAAACAACTAAATTAAAACTTTACATGTGCCCTGATGCTTTCCTCTAAAATATAAGTATTTGTGTTCTGCTACTGTAATCTGTGCTTATGTTGCATAAACTGAAATTCTATTTTATTCTGTTAAACGTGCCTCCTGCACATGAGATGAAATAGGCCAGACACCATCATCCACCTGAACTTAAGACTCACAGGTGCCAGACTGCATGTCTGGGTCAAGAGAATCACACCACAAGCCGAGACATAAAAGTGTGTGTGTGTGTGTGTGTGTGTGTGGGGGTGGGGGGGTGGGGGGGGGGTGTCTCACCATTGCTAAATGACTGCATCATTAGTGTCATTTAGGTTTACAATGTAGTAGGCACAGATTAAATGGACAGCCTCAACAATGGAAGAAGCCTTTTGCAGATGCACACATCTCTTGACATCCATACATATTGACAGACCAGTATATATGGATGCTTTCCTCATAATATTCATATAAACACCAATAATAATACTAGGGGTTTAAAGGCCATGAACCAAAGACGAAACAAGCCAGAGGTGAAGGTTTATGCATTTAACAAGAAATTTCATAAACGATCATCAGGGCTGATGTGAAATCTAATCCAGGTCAGAATTATCATCTCATCTATCTCATGATCAGCAGCAGCTGGATGTTTATGGCCACAAAATTTCAAGTGAAGCACACTCCTTCTATGTCTTGTGTTTGCTCACGATCCATATTTCCATTTAGAAACAGTTTCTCCTCCATAGATGTGCCTGCCTGTCAGAGTGTTTAACCACTGGTTGGTCCGCTGATGCTGCTGTCAGTCATTGTGGGAATGTGTACGGCAGGGGTCCCCAATCCTGGTCCTGGAGGGCTGGTATCCTGCATGTTTTAGTTTGAACTCTGTTTCAACACACCTGATTTCAATCAGCAGCTAATTAACAGGCTTCTGCAGAGCCTGATGAGCTGCTGCACAGGTGTTTCAGCCACTGAATCAAGTCTGTTGGAGAGGAAAAAACCACACAACCTGCTGGAAACCGGCCCTCCAGGACCAGGACTGCGGACCCCTGGTGTACGGTGTGGGGAAACAGTTTTAAAGTTTCTCCTCTGCTTGAGCTGATGGTGACGCGCGGCGCGCCTCGCGGCAGTGATGCGCCTTTTGCGCAAAATGGGTCTTTCATGGAGCGCGTGCCAGAGTATGGATGACTGGTGTTTGAGGACACACATATATCTTTTCAGAAATCTCTGAGATTTCGACTAATTAATACCTGGAAAATTTACCAGTATGCACTGTACCCTAGAAAAAGTACTGCCATGCTGAAAGGTTATATTTAGAAGTGGCGGCAGTGCTGGTTAGGCCCAAAGCACTGCTCTCTGTCCCTAAAGGATGAGTCTGGTGATCTGATCATCAGAACCTGATCATCATGATCAGTTCCTGACAGCCGCTGTTTCTCCCTCCCCAACCAACCCCATGTGTCCAGCATCACGCGCTGCGCGATAGTTAAACTGGCCCAAAACCTCCACCTTACTCAAGACAACTTTATTAGTCCCCCGAGGGGCAAAGGTGGAATAAACCTTAAACCAGTTCTCCCAGCATGACCACATACAGGCCAGCCTGGACATGCATCTGTGGCAAGAGCTTTCTTATTTTTCAACCTCTCCTTCTTTGCTCCACCTTTCCTGATCCGTCTAGGTCCATTTTGCCTCTGGGGCCAAAGGTGCGGTGGTGCTGTAGTCGCTCTGGGATGGTGGGTGTCTGCTGCACTTTGCCAGACCCTGACAAAGTGAGAGAAGGGGGTGTCTTTATGCCCAGTTGGCTCCGTTTGTGCGAGCATCAAGACAGCAGATGCCCTGATGAGCTGCATGACGGATTGCTCATTTAGATATTATGCACGTCATGACCGGCAGTGACTGAGTGGGCCAGTCTGACGCCCAAGCCACCGGGAAATCTCCAGTTTCTCACGATTACCAGTCCACAACTGAAGAGATGTGTGTTAACTTAGAAAATGTGGGCGCAATTTTAATTACTTGTGTTCATATAGTATATATATATATATATATATATATATATATATATATATATATATATATATATATATATAATAAGCCACTTCTTTGTTTCTCTGAAGTTCCCACCATTTTGGTATATTGCTTAAAAGAATCTCTTTTTCTGAACATAAATTCCTTTTTTTTCTGGGTTTAAGTAGGAAATGAAATTAATCGCTGCATTTGGATGCTCTCTGAAGAGGATGTGTTCGCTCGCAGCAGAAGTTGCATGATACACTTCCCTGTCATTTTTATGTTTAGAATGACAAATAAACATTTATTACCATTACATTTTCATTATTTTTAATTCATATTTAGACCAAACAAGCTGACCAGAGTGACCTAAACCATGCAATTAGGCCATTTTAATTACAATGAACAAAAATATAAACTCAACACTTTTGTTTTTGATCCCATTTTCATGAGCTGAACTATAACTTTGTCATGGTCTGCATCTCCCTCATGTGTCTCCTTGTGTTCCTCATGTGTCCCCTGGTCTTCAGCCCTCCAGATTATCTCCCAGTCACCCCTCTGCAGTTTTTTATAGGTTCAGCTTCTCATTTTATTAGTCTCTTTAGTATGTTTTCCCACAGGTTTTTGTAGTTTCCCTTCCCCTTAGAATATTAGTTAATTTTGCTGGCTCATCTTGTCTTTAGGTTTTTTACTCTTAGGTCATGTTAGTTTCCTCCCTGATTAGTTAATTACTTTCACTTGGTTTCTCTCCCCACACACCTGCAGCCTATCTGCCTCCCATCATGCCCCAGTGTATATAACCCTGTCTGCATCTCTGTCTGTTGTTGGGTCATTGTCTTTGTCACCTTTGTCTCGTTCCCCTCTCTAGTTTTGGATCTTCGTTTTGGATTCTAGGTTTTGACTTTTTGGGACTTTGATTTTTTGTGTTTTGGCTCCGCCTTTTTGGACTGATTATAAATAAAAGGATTTTTACTTTATTTCTCCACTGAGCATCATCTGGTTCTCTGCATTTTTGGGTCCTAACCTCCTCTTAGCTCCCCAACGTGGCAAACTTCTGAAAATGTGTCTACCCTGACATGTGTTTTCTGCCCAGCAATATAAATTAAAACTGTGCACATGCCAGGGTGGCCTTTTATTGTGGGCAGTCTATGGCACACCTGTACATTATTCATGCTGTCTAATCAGCTCCTTGATATGCCACACCTGTGAGGTGGGATGGATTAGCTTGGTAAAGGAAAAGTGCTCAGTAACACATGTAGACAGCTTTCAGAACAATATTTGATAGTCATGGATGTTTTGTGCATGTAGAAAAAGTTTCAGATGTTTGAGTTCAGCTCATTAAAAATGGGAGCAAAAATTAAACGTTGCATTTATATTTTTGTTCAGTGTGATTTAGGAACATTTCACCTGCTGTGGCCAAAGGCACATTCCTTCTGCTCCACATAAACCTGAACTGATCACCTGTCTGAAATCAGATGTCTAAATGCGGCTTGCAGAAGAGACTTTTGCTGAACCTTTAATATTCGATTGATGATGAATATTTGGGTATGCCAGGGAAACACGTTATAATAATTTCAAACACAGAGACGAAAGAAAATGATAAAAAAATCAATGTAGTACTACATTTTTACTACTAATGGTGATACAGGACAAATTAGTATAAATGATGGTAAAGTAATATTTACTGAGACAAGGAATTAACTATGGTGAAATATGAACTTAGATGTTATTAAACCTGATTAAGTGTCAAAGAAAAATGTGATGTCCGGGTTTGTGGCTGGTTATGAGGTTTAACAAGTCATCCAATGCCAGTGGGCAGAATCTACGAACCCGTGGTTCCTGGCGATCCAGGGGAGGTCGGTTCAGCCAAGCTGCCAGATGGAATTGACTTGTGTGGTATTCAAAGCTCGTAGGTCCACTTTGAATACTTTACCTCTGGTTATAAGATACCCCCTGGGTGACTGCTGGCGGTCAGATGGAGTTCTGCATCTGATAGTGTTAAACAAATAATTTGTTTAGTCTTGGAAAAGTATGGGTCACATCCCGCTGGAACAGTTGGCCGAACTGGAACAGCTTGCTTGAACTGAATTTTAGAGGAATTGACTGATCTTTTAAAGATTTGTTGTTTATAAGTTCTGGAAAAATCAGAAGCCAGAAATTTTAATGGGCGTTAACAAAGAGTACTCAGGACTTCACCTTTTCTCAGACTTAGAGCAGGCTTGTTTCGTTAATATGTGAAGTAAATCGGTTAAACCTTCATTTGTTAATATAACAATATTAACATGTGAATATACTGATAATAAATCATTGTCAAAAGCATCAAGTAGACTCATTTGTTGTATTTAAGATCTGATTTAAAACTGACACTTTTGTTGATTCATTAATGTAAAGCAGTCAAGGCGTTATTAAATATTTAAGGTAAAACATTCATTGTAGATAAAATAGAATATGATTGTAATCAACCTGTAGATGTCATGTTCTGTGTCCCTTTGGCCCCCAGCCCCCTCCTGTTCTCCCTCCAGGTGTCTTTAGCCTTTTTAGTTTATTTATGCAGTGTCTCAGGCATTGTTTTATCCCCTCCTCCGCTTGGCTTTCTCTTCCCATTTAGTTTATTGATTCCAGCAGTCCGAGAACTGAGGAGACTTTAGTCTCCTTTAAGCCGGGCGTACACTGTGCGACTTTTTCACTCGCAGCGTTCAGCTTCAGCTCAAACTGTACGACTTCCTCGCAGAGCAGATCTCACGAGTCGTGTGCTCACACTGCACGACCCAGTTCTCGCATGCGACCTGACTGCTCACACTGTACGTCTGGTAGCAACACGTCGGCCCTAAAAATGTGCTAAAAATAGCAGTTTTTACTCAACACGTCAGACTTTTTTTGTCTTGCCTGTTGTCCTTCGGGAGTGCTGCAGGAGGACACACAGGGATTTAAGGGGGTTGGATGAGGAAAACGAAATAAAGAAAGTGAATCTGTGTTTTGTGATCAGTTTAATTTGACATGAACACGACAAACACACTTTCTTGACAATCTTTGTGAGTAAAAAAACGTGTAGAAACAAAAACGAACAGCGTGTGTTATTAGGGAAATAGCGAACGACCGGCCGGCGTTGATGCAGGATTGCGCGCGCATGCGCCATGAGCGGTTCTGATACTTTTTGGATCGTAGCTGCTCGCAGCGCCGCTTCAACAGTGCGATACCCTCACGAGGGACGAGCGAAATATTAAACACACCAGAAGTCCCTGCGACCTCACGACTGCTGATCGGCAGCTGGTCACGTGGTGTTAATCGCCTCTCGTAACCCCCTGTACACTACACGACCGCTCGGCGCAAAACTCGCCCCGATGTCGTGGCTTCTCGCACGACTGGAAAATCGGCTCAAAAAAGTGAAAAAGTCGCACAGTGTACGCCCGGCTTTAGTGTGTGTGTGTTCCCTTCCCCACTTAAACCATTCGTTTACTTATTTTTAAATTCCCCTGTGTTTTTGTTCTACAGTGTTTAAGTTTGGGTTGTTTCAGTAGCTTTGGTTTACAGGTTTAAGATATAGTTTTCTCCCCTGCTTATTTCTGCGTCTTCCCTCAGCTCATTAGTTTCACCTGTGCCCAGTTCCCCACGCACCTGCTCCTCGTCTCCTAATCACCCAGCCCCGGCCTGTGTATATAACCCTGTCTGTGTCTTAGTATTTGTCGGTCCATTGTCGTTTGTCAGCGTTGTTTTGTCTCCTCAGTAGGTCTCTAGGTTTTTGCTCAGAAAGTGAGCTTTTGGTTTTTTCAGGGTTTTGAAAATAGGCTTGGCTTCCTACCCTTTTGGATTTTGGATTATTGTCATAAATTAAGGATTTACATTTTACAATCGCTCCTGCCTCATGCCATCTGGTGTTCTGCATCTTGGGTCCTAACCTCCCCCTGCTCTCAACGTTACAGTAGAATGAAAGAAATCCTTTTTATTAGACAGAATCCTTGATTTTTATTAAGGGTAAAGTCTTGTCTTCTGGAGGAGACCTTGTAGCTTCCAGCACAGAAAAGCAGGAGAGAGATTTATGGCCAGCTTACACACACATTGGGTTGCTGTTACTGATGTAACAGCCTACCTGTAACATTGTTGTAGCAAACGTGGTGCTGCAGGTGGGTAAAAAGGGGTGCAGTCATTAGGTAAGCTATGTTTATGAGCTTCAGATGTTTTAAAAGTCTCAGTGTGTATGTTGAAATATTTTATTGTCAAAGTTTAAAAAAAGCTGTGGGAATTTTGCTGTTGCCTTGATGCTGCTGAAGAAGTTCACATTTTCACATGTAAAATCACCCGGTTATGTTTAAATGTTTATTAACAACATTCATTATTTTCAATTCCCTGCCGTTTCTAACTGATATCGTTCATCAGGGAAGGTGAGTATCTGGGTTTTCTGTTACAGTGATGAGGAAGAGCAAAACGTGTAGTGATCTGTTCCAATTTAATCAGGCCAGGTCAATGCTGGGTTTATTAAGTGTGTGTGTGTGTGTGTGTGTGTTTGTGTGTGTATGTGTGTGTGTGTGCAGCAGGTGTACCCACCACTTACCACTGTGTTGAGCCTGCAGGCGTTTCTTACCTTTGTTAATGAACATAAGCTCGCAGTGTTTTCTGTAAGAAACCCCTGACTAAATAAAACAAGACAATAACACACACCTGGTGTAGATTATTGAGTTGATGTGAATTTTGAACACGCACAACCTACACAGCTGGTCTGAGGCCAGCTTCAGGAAATTTAAACAGATTAAGGATCTAAACAGGCTATTCTGTAAATGTAACAACCATCTGTTGTTTTGAGTTCAGCATTTCTGCCACATTGTTACTGTTAAAGCGAGTGTGTACCACCAAGCTGCTGTTGAGAGCTGAACGGCGGTGCTTTGGCCTCCACACAAGTGTTTTTGTGAATAGAACAGGTGAATTAGGCAGAACCACAGTTGATTTGTCATTGAAATTACTACTAGTTGGAAGGTTCCTTACAGCGGGTTCATCCACACCGCGTCCGGGAGACTTTTAGATGCAATACCCGACGGTGTGATTTAGCAACATTTTAGTTTTAGAATTATAGAAGTTACTGAGTTCATCTGTTCATGTTGAATTTAGAAAAGGTGTTTAGGGATAAAAGACTGAGTAAGAAAAGAAAGATTAGCTTGACATTTAAGGTATTTAAGTATTTGTGTAAAACTAAGTCCAGGACTATAAACCACACACGGAGACAAAGAGAGGGAAAATGGCTGTTAGTTCAGCAAACTTCAAATCCTTTGTCCAGCAGGAAAGAGCCACCACAAACCTGGCCATGTGGTAAGTAACAGCTACGCTAGCGGAGAGGAGATTATGTGGTGACATCATATTTGCAATGTTCCCATGAGTAGTCATAGTAATTAAGACGTTTTACTATTGCTCATGTAGACTGACTTCACCAACCTGCAGAATTCCAGACGTGGCTGTTTTATATATAGTTATACCCTCCATATATTTTCTGGAATGTTTTAAATGTACTAATTTTTTATTCTTATTTTCATACTTTCTCCATTCCTCTCTCCCTGTAAAATATATGCTAGTTATTACACTGTATCTTTAAAATAGTATATTTCCTCACATTTTTTTATTCACTGTTTATCGTTTCGTCCTTCTATTCTTTATTTTGGCTCTGAATCTATTTGCTGCTATTATTCCAGGATTACACCACTGAGGAGTATTCTATTGTTCCAGTTGTTCTTCATGCATGATTCTCGGTAGAGCGAGCTGTTGACCTGTTTGCTAAAGGGTTAAACCCACTCGCTGTAGCAGTGACTGTTGTCTTCCATTGTACAGAAAAATGTATTTGCAGTGAAGACTCCAGCTGAGCTTCATTGATCTTCTGCTGCAGCGCTTCACACTCTTCAGTCATCTCACTGATGTTGTTTGGGCAATTCAGTAACTGAATCCTAAACTCCATTTCCAGGTTCAGCAGTGGAGAGCTGATGGTGGCTTTCTGCAATTGCTGCTCCCAACATTTAGATCTTTTTGGTGTGATTTTCCTCTTTGTTCTGACTGTTGCTGACTGTGGCTCAGGGGTCAAAAGTCTATCCTGTTATCAGTAGGTTGCTAGTTCAAACCTCAGCTAAATAAGGCCAGCGGTTGTGTCCTTGAGTGATTATTGACATCATGACCCATACAGCACCTTCTGCAGCAGTCATATGATGGAAAATACCAGCTGAACATTTTGTGAGGCTGTAGCGGCTCGGGGCCCTTACAGCAGTATGTACCAGAAGGTGTACGTCATTGCACCACTGTCTTTTTTAACTGAGATGACTAATAAAGATGGTCAGCGGCATTCATGTTCCTCCCAGTGTTGTTTTTGTTAACGATGAACAATAGATTTCGTCCCTTTTTTTTTTATCATAACAGACGAGACGCTGATGAGCTAAAATAGCTCTTTGGTGAGTGAAACATGACGAGTTTTCGGCAACGAGCCAAGACTAGACTAGAACTATGCTCTAAATGCTAATTTCTGCCTGTCTCACAAAAACTACGAGTAACAGCACTGCAGCTGCTGTCGGTGTCCCAGACGCAGTTGCAGCCATATTCTGCTCAGCAGCTACGTGAAGTTGGCCACTCAACCACATCAGGAATCCTGCACTAACGTCGCACTAGCCACTCTATTTGTTTCTGATGTGGATTGGAAGCCAACTTCACTCAGCTCGGCTCAGTACTTCCCTGCCATGGGAACGAGCAGCTCCCAGCCTCTCAATGATGCTACTACGAGCAATGACGTTGTTACTTTTAAATATATCTGTAACATTAAAACAAGTTAAAGTCCTGTTAGTTATCACCAGGGCCATTTCTAGCATTGTGGGGGGCCTATGCAAGATTATGTTCTGGGCCCCCCTATTTGGACAAATTGTAATTGATGATCTATAAACACACCATAAATTGTCCCAAATTGCAAGCATCAGAACATCAGAGCTTTATTCTGGACACTGTGCTCAGTGCGGACCGGAGCGCACACGGTGGACAGTGAGCTGAAGATCTGTAGAGGGGTTCGCAGCGCAGTGCAGAACCACAGCACATGCGGTAAGATTTCCTCCCACTGAAACAACCCGGTCTCTCTGAGGGATGTGTCACTTGGAAAAATGTTCGCTGATTATGAAACTTTGGCTGAATAGCGCTTGTTCCCGTCTCTAATATGGAGACGCATGACGCATCCAGTCTGAGGCAGAATAGCCTCTTCAGCTCAGAAAGCACCTGTAGAGACATTTGATCACGCACAAAGTTTATGTGGAGCAGAAGCGGTCGGGCCACGGCAGGTGAAAGGTTCCTACATGAAGTGAAACTGTTTAATTGTAACATAAATATGTTACTGGACACGCTGGTCTGGTTGGTTAGACCAGTTTGAAGTGGAAAACACACACACACACACACTCACACACCAATTAAAATAATGCTGATAGCGTGGACTATAAGACAGGTGATGGTTTACGTATTTAAATGATGATCAGGCTGCTGTAAAATGTAATCTCCATCCACATCCAGACAGAATTATCCTCTATTCTTTCTCTATTTGCTCTGCTCTTGTCTGGGCTGACGTAGCTGATGGTGCGCGCGGCGCACCTAACTAGCGGCTGTGATGCACATTTTACGCATTTGGAGAGGTGGGCTGGATGCTTTGCTTTTACTGGAAGACGGATTTTTTTTTAAATAAAAAATGTCAGAGATTTTTCCCCATGAAAAACCGTAAAAACTACTGGTGTGCATGTACCCTTATGAAAGAGTCCTACGTTGAGAGGTAAATATTAGAAGTGCAGGTGATGCATTCTGGTGCCTATAAATGAAAAATTTATGAAAATTAAATTGGGAGTTTTTACTTCATATTTTAGAAATAAAAATGATGGGGGAAAAGATTTATGATGTCTTTTTAAATGGAATTTTCTAGCGCGACCTGCCTGCTTCACTTAAGTCACTGCTTATTAAGGTCCGTCCAAAATTACCGTGGCCCACCCAAAAATGAAAACCTGGCGCCGCGCCAGTTATAAACCTCTGCAAATTGTTATTCTTCACTTTATCAAACAGAGAGTTTGTACAGCTAATGTCAAGATGTAAAATTATGAATTCAGTCGAGCTCTTCCCTCCCTCTCCTGTTTCTCCTTGAAACCCAACATCGGCTGTCGGGTTTCAAGGAGAAACAAAAGGGGGGGGAGGGGGGAGATGAGGCAAACAGAGTGAGTGCGACGTAGAAAAACCAGACGGGTGTGGGGATTAGCAAAACGGGCTGGAAAAGTGTGGGTGTTGAATCCCCCACATCCCCCACGGGTGCGACGCCTATGGTTACGGTAAAGTATGAAGGCCAGTTTGTGTTACCATCAACACAACCACAGCAGCTTTGGGGGCCCCTAGTGACTTGGGGGCCCCTAGTGGTTTGGGGGCCCTATGCAATAGTATAGGTTGCACATAGGAAGAAACGGCCATGATTATCACACACACTGGTGTATGAAATTTGTTCTCCGCAGTTGACCTATCCCCTGGGGGAGCGCTGAGCTGCAGGCACAGCCGCGCTCGGGAACCATGTGGTGTTTTAATAAATTTCTTATCCGTGTGCTTCCTGAAAAAGTCATGCTTTCAGGCAGAAAAACGACAGAAATGACGGTTTTTAACAGGTTTTATCCGAACAAGTTTAAGACGAATGTTATAAAGTCAGTGTGTCAGGATTATTGTCTCTCCCTGGTTCCTAATAACAGGTCATATTCCTGCTTTTTAACCCAACAGCACAACAGACCATCTAAACGTTTATGAGCATCACTGCTCACTGCAAAGCACTTCCCCACCAGGACAACAGAGGTCGTAGCGCTGTTCTGTGGTATCTTGTCATGTATCTGGTCCAAGATAGTGCATATACTATAGGGCTAGGGCTATAGTGGCTGCCCCACTGGTGACCTACAAGACATGACTTGTTGCTTGTTACTACTGTAAACAGCACGCTCAGTCTCATTCTTGCAGCTTAAATTTGTCTATTACTCATTTGATCAGTTATATTACACAACTCTTGTAAATTGTTGCTGTGTGGTGGGGTGATACATGTGATCACCAGGGGAATAAAGGTGGAAAACGGGCACATTTTTCCACCGTTTTCCTGCTTGAAGGCATAACCACAGAGGCCAACACCACAGTCTCATCGTCTCGCTTGTATCACAGCTGTAAGGTGACTGTCAGAAATTGGGGGTTAATATAGTTGCTTTTAAGCTAAATATATTACCTCTACTTCTGACCAATAAGCTGTGATATTCTAAATAAAAATAGGATGTTTCTATTTATTTATTTGATAGACACTTTTATCCAAAGCGACTTACAATGTATAACCTATAGGGCATGTTGTGATCTGTGGGGGAAACCGGAGTACCTGTAGGAAACCCATGCATGCATGGGGAGAACACGCAACTCCACGCAGAAAGGCCGCAGCCGAGCCGAATTTCGAACATGCAACCTTCGCGCTGCAAAGCATCAGTGCTAACCACTGCGCCACCATGCAGCCTTCATTTCAACCTCATCAGTCTTTGAATGTTTAATCAGAAGAATTAGGATTGTTTGCTTTTTCAGTGATCAAACACACTTCCTATCAATTCAGACAGAGTCAGGTTTATAAAAGGTAAGAAATGTATTTTCTAAACAAATTAAAACGAGACAAGTTAAATAAGACGACTGTGATGGATGAATGTAAGTGGATGGAATGTGATGCATGGTGATTTAATGGTGTGTGTTTATCAGAACCTTGTATCTAGAAGAAACTGAGTTCTGGGTGTGAAAAGAATTTGGTCTGCATTAAACTATGGAGTTGGTTCTTATCAAAACGGCATCAGATGCAATTTATGTCATGCCTACGTACCCGTTCCTGGAGACCCCGTTTGGATTTGAGATGTCGAGGAGGCGGTGACCCCACATGCACGTGGCTTGTAGGAAAACCTCGACACGACCTAGGATGTCTCCCGGGTCTCAACAGATAGATTAAATTGTTTGCGTCTAGAACAGCTGTTTCTGAATAGCTGAAGGAACCATTTTGCTGTGTCAGCTGTAGCTTGTAGCAGGGTTGACAGCTTGTCAAGAGACGCGGTAGTTAGAGAGTTTTCCCCCGGTGGCCAGTCCGGAGTTCTGCTCAAACTAACAGAATGCAGAATCACTCCGTAAGTGATCCTGTTTTAATGTTCTCATATTATGATTTACTTGGCCAGTAGGGATGTGCCATGTTAAGAGGTGTTAACAAACAAACCTCTGAACATCACGCCTTCTTTCAGACAGAAGGTTCTCTAATTTTTGGGTAAGAACATCTCTATGTGCAAGAAATTACTTTAACGTTATCTTATGAACATTGTGTATGAGTGTAGATAATGATTCACTTGTTAAACCAAACATTACAAATCATTACATCAAAATGTTTCATTGTAATATTAAAATTCATTTCAGCCTTATTAACTTAGGCACAGATTAATCAACACATTTAATTTAACTATATTGTTCATTTCATTTCATGATTAATTAACTCATATGAGCTGAAAATGCTCACTTTATTCAGAGGCAGGAGGAATCTTGTAGAAGCGATAACGGAAGCTTAAGGCCTTGAAACAGGAACAGTTTGTTGACAATAAGTTATCGTGTGTTCAGAGCTGCAGAGGCCCGGACCCCAGCTGATGGAATGGCAGGATCCGGCAGATTAAAGGCAACAAATGTAGACTCCTGTCTCCATATGAAGAGGTCAAACTGTACATGACAAACGGACCATTTGTGGATGCTACATGAGCAAACATCACCATTCTGGTTACTTACAGATGGTGTAGGCTACGTTTTTTTTATACAAGATTACTTTTCTTCAACCACGACATGCACACACATAGGCTACACACATGTTGGCTATGTAACGGAATGAAATGACTGTTTTCCATCTAAAAGTCATTTTCCCCCTCTCCTCAGCAAGAACTAATCTGCATGAGATATTGCTCAATGTCTCATGCACCTGCTTCAAAACCGTTTTCCTTTCCAGCCCAAGAGAAGAATGAAGACAAAGGACTCTCTCTTTTTAATAAATCTTTTAATAAGCTAATCAAACAAAAGTGTTAGTCAATAACAAAATGTGAACCAATTTGTGAAATGAAAATATTAATTACTTGATATTATAATCCTATAGAATATATAAGTAATATAACTTTAAATGTTTCCACCAGACTGATTGTCATGGTCTGGGGAAGAAGTTTAACCCAGGACACGCAGAATCAACACACTCACAGGTAATTTAATCAAAATAAGGAGTTTATTTTAAAACGGGAACAAAAAGTGCACTGGAACTTCCAGTGGATGGAGAAAAATCGGTACGCAGCGTTGGGCAAAAGAGCTGAGGAGGAATGGGGAGGGGCAGGTCGAGAGTTGGGTGAGTCGAGGTGAGTGTATCCAGGAGAGGGAGTGTGGGGGAAGCAGGTGAGTGGAGCGACTGGTGAGATGGAGAACACTGGGGAGCTGCGTCCAGAAGGTTATGTAGAGGCGGTGAGTATCCTGATGAGTTTAGAGAATCCAGAGTAGTTCCTTCAACAGAGGCTCTCCAAAAATCCTGAAGCAGGTGTGAGCATAAAAACACAAAGAAAGTAAATCCAGAGGAATCACCAGAGGTTCAAGAAAACACGATGCACTAGGAGGCTGGAATCTACCGGGTAGTAGTAATCATCCCGTGTCGAGGTGTGTTCTCCAACTCCTTAAGAAGCCAGTGCCGTTGATTGCTAACCTGACGCAGCTGGGAGCCTCCCTCTCCTGAAAAACAACTCAAAGATGGAATGTGCAATGGGAGTACTCATCCCGACTCATGACACTGATCACACGTAGTGTTAAGACATGACACATTGCTTTTACTGATCCAATCAGAATCTGCTAGATCTGACGGAGGCGTGGTTTTGGTGTTGCTTGGTAAATCTGTCATGTTTTCATTCGACCATAAACCAAAACATCCGAAGTATAAAACTACGTCCACATCATCTTTAACTTCAGTTCAAAGAGTTCTAGAGAAGTTGATGGAGTGGCCAATCCGTAACTTTCCTCGTCAGCCGAAAGAACCAACGACAAGCTGGATAATATCTGTTGCATTTTACCAACCAAGCAACGGTTCCTTTCAGAATAAAAGCTGAACTCATTGACCCTCCGGGTCCATCTGACGCTGTCAACAAACTGTCGCTTTTTACCTGGAGACAATCCAAAGACTAGTCTGTCATACTGCTGACGCTGTTTCATCGGCTCCGGTACCGAGAGAGGGGTTTGAGGACCTGGCAGTCTGGATCTGTGTGGAGGTCTCACTCTAAGGGTATATGTGGAGTGACAAAAATGGCGTCTTATGTGTTTATGGATCTCCAAATCAAAGCTTAGCGCGAAGACATCACCTTCACTCCCATCAGCACTAATCGTTTCTTCGGATTTGCTGGTTCTGAACAACATTCCACACCACACCAGTCTCCGTCTCACTTCACCTTAGTTACACCATACATTTAGTGTTTAATTTAGTCTAGTTTTAATTTTTTAGTAATAAATCTTTAAACTTTTAAAACTTGACTCTCTCTTCTGTTGTCTCTGAGTTAATACGAAGTGGTTCCATAATCCCTGCAATAAAAAGTTCCAATCTTCTGGTTAAAAGTACCCAAAGATCCATGAGGCTGATTCCATATTTCCTATGGAATCTCATGGTTCGTTAAATAACAAGTAAATTAAACCCTTTACAGCTACACACACATTGGCTACATACACACACACACACACACACACATAGGCTACACACACACATAGGCTACACACACACATAGGCTTCACACACTCATAAGCTACACACACACACACACACACACACACACACACACACACACACACACACACACACACACACACACATAGGCTACACACACACATAAGCTACACACACACACACAGGCTACACACACGCTACACACACATAAGCTACACACACACACACACACACACATAGGCGACACACACACACACACATAGGCTACACACACACATAAGCTACACACACACACACACACACACACACACACACACACACACACACACACACACACACAGGCTACACACACATGCTTAGAAGCTTTTAGAAACGAGTATCGAACACTTCACATCATCTGGAAAACAGATGTCCACTCGTTTCGTTTAGCAAAGGTGTGTTTTACAAAAGTACCAGTTTACTATAAAAGACTTTGAGTAGTAGCAGCTCTGTAATGCTGATCCGGAACAGGACAGGATCATGACCCCGACCCCACGAGCTGTGTTGGTGTTTGCTGCACATCTCTGGCTGGCGTGGTGTGAGCAGCGATGATAATCAAAGGCTTGTGTGTGAGTGGAGCTGAACCAGAATGCGTCCAGAGAAAGAGACTTGACAGAAACACTGAATGCTTTGATTTTATTTTATTTGAGGCGCCGTGTGAGCGACAGAAACACGTTTTCACTTTCTGCAGCTGAATTAGAAGTTTGCTGCTTGAGCGAACTTGGAGCACTTGTCAGCAAAAAATACTCTGAGACACATCCAGCCGACACGATGCAACTCTCTCGCTGGAGTCCTGTACCACACACTGCTGCTGCTGCGTGACTCAGACCTGCTGTCTGACATCTAAATGAGCATATCCAAAAGCCTATTTTGGTAGATCTGAGTTTACTCTACTTATTTTAGAGTGTCACTCTCTAAATTGTGGGATTATTTTTTTTCAGATTGCAGATGAAGCCGAGCCGCAGAAACCACAGGAACTCCTGTCGGAGTCATTACTGCATCGAGGCTGGTCTTTCTGTTCAGAGATGATGAGGACGGTGGGATTCATCTGCTTTGCTTCCTACCTATTCTTTATTGTGAGGTACATGTTTATGTTCTGAATATTTTTCTTTTCAGTGTCACTCTTCAGAACACTAATCAGGTTATGCTACTGAACCTGCACAGACAAGACAATTCCCCACAGCCTGCTTTGTTCTGAACAGCAGAGATGAGTTGGCCAGACAGATGACAGTCAAGAACAAGAAGCAGGAAAACTGTCTGGCTTTGCAACCAGTCAGCTATTGGAGTCCTGCAGAGTTCAATCAATAGCATGTGTGCAGCAATCTGTTGTCAGAGTTTGTGCTAAAAAGCAGATGCTGCCTCGAAACTGGACTGAACTGCAGTCAGAGAATTGGGGTTTTGGTTGAAAAACATGTGCGTAGGAGCATTTATGTGTGACTAAAAGAGAATTATGTAATCTATAAATCTCACCAACCTTTGGAAAAGTGGTGCTATTGTGTTAAAGCCACTTATCTAACATGTATTTGCTCTGGCTGATTACAGAATATAAAGCTTTGCAGCTGACTGAATGAAAGTGATGATCAGAGGAAGCCTCAGATCCGCCTACTCAGAGCAGGAGACCACTTATCATCACAGATGCATACACTTAGTGGATTTATTAACAAATTCAGCCATGCTCTGGTTCCCCACTCCTAATCTGTTCCCAAGCTGACGCTGCAGCAGGCTTAGCCGTTCGACTCGTCGTGCCAAACTCCATCCTCCTCTGGGACTTACTAATGGCTGATGGGGTGACGCCTTCAAACACCAGGGGTGCTCACACTCTTAGCCTCAGATACAGCAATAACAAGCACATGTGCTTCTAAACCGTGCAGACGACATGGGCCTGGATGTTCTGGCTGACACCAGAACCTGGTGAAAGCAGGACGTCTGGTCCAGACTGAGGAAGAACACAAATAAAAGAGCTGTGGTGCAGCAGAGGAGAGGAATCACAGCCTGATTAGTTTAATTATCATATACCCAGGGCCAGAGTCTGGAGCAGAGTCCTTTAGAGACTCATCTTTCCTTTTCCCAGCATGTAGTCTCGACAAAAACTACAAACGGAAAACAGGAGCTTCCAGCTGCTGAGGGGCCCAAGGTTTCATCAGGCTTACTTTGGTTTTAGTTCATTTTTAATAGTACCAACTCCCAACAAAACCTTCAGATTTGCCCATGGACAGCAGTAGCTCGGGAGGCAGGGCAGGCTGTCCAGTAATCGGAAGGTTGCTGGTTCGATCCCGGCTCCCATCAGAGAATGCTGCTGTTGTGTCCTTGGGCAAGACACTTTAACTGCCCTGCCTGCTGATGGTGGTCGGAGGAACCGGTGGCGCCAGTATCTTGCTTCCGTCAGTGCACCCTAGGGCAGCTGTGGCTACATTGTAGCTTATCATCTCCAGCATGTGAATGACTGATTGTGTTGTAAAGTGCCTTGGGGGGATTGTAGAACCCTAAGAAGGCTTTACAAATACTGTTTTAGGTTAAAGTATGGGCACCTGATCAGAGGAGGGTGTTGCCTCCTACTGAACTTTTAAAAAAACTTTAAAAATACATTTTGGAATCTTAACAGTGTCTACATCTAACCCATAATGATTCAACGACCAAAAGTTTGCAAAAGCTAAGCATGAATGGAGAAAACGCACCGTCTCCTTGCTCGTATTCTCAGCGCTGTGTGCCGTATCTTTGATTTATGAGTATTAGAATACCCAGGTCCTAGTTTGGGCTCAGTTAAGCATGACTGCTACATTTTCAAGTCCATGTCGTTATAAATTCTGCATGAAATTATTCCTCATGAACCAGTGAAGAGTGTAATGTAAACAGGAGAGAAGTGGTAAAGGACAGAGAGAGAGACTGACGCACCATTTTCAAGGGCATTGCTGAACAATTAACCTGCGGTTTGAGCCATCTACCCCATTAGTCTTCTGGGTTTGGAAAAAAACTATTGATTTTGGATGTCAGCCACTCTCCTTTTATGGAAATAACACTAAATGGCAGGGAAACAAAAACAAATTGAATTTTCTATGCTGTTGCTCGTAATGTGAAATTAGATATGTGGCCATGTGTGACAGAACGAGCCAGTCACAGAGCCAGAGAGGACGATCGGGCTTCATGCCATACACATTTACTTAGTGCATCCAAAGGCAGATCTTTATGCACTTAAAGTGGCACAATGGAACAATAGCCATGTTTCTGCTAAAGGAATTTCAGGAAATTTCTAGGAGGGGGAAAATTGACCGGGAAAAACAACGGCTCAGTCTTCTCAGCCCAGAAATCCAGTGAGCGAAGTCACCGATCAGCGCCAAAAGACACAGATTAGTGACATTAATAATTCTGTTCTGGTGAAGTACAGCATCATTTAATGAATTCAGATAGCCATCTGAACTGATGTGTGATGTTAAAAATGGCATTGAATGACCAGAAGAGGGACTGTTTTTTATGGTAATCAAAGCCCCAGAAATCACATAATTGTGCACTTTAAAATTTGGAAACAGCTATTTTAAAGCATCATAAATGCTGTTTATTTTCTTTTTATTCTGTTTAACCAGCAACTCTTTTAGTTTTGCAAATGCCAGGTGTTTTTGCAACTTCTATCAAGGTCATTTCCCTCTGAATTACAACCAATCAGTGTGAGTTAACCAAAGGTCCAGCTCAGCGACTACCTTCCAGTAACAGAACTTTCACACAGATTGATGAGGTTTATCCAGGGTTCTACATTTCAAAAGGTGATTAAAATGTTTCATTTTTTGACAAAACTTCAAAATTATTGGCTGCAATTGGTACGTGAAGGGCATTTAAAGCAATATGGAAAAAAATCTACGGAAAAAAATCTCCTAACCACCTTTCATCAGTAAACCAAAATGGATAACTAGTGATCACAAGTCTTGTGACTTTCCCAAAACGACCCAAAGAAAACCTAGTTGTTGGATATTCAAATGTTTTTCATGACAAACCTCTAACACGAGACTGTGCTCTAACATGTCAAATAATATAACAAGTGAAATTAAGTTCAAACACTTCAAAAGAACTGTTTGGCGTCTGCTAACACTGGCCCTGTCCTACCGTACCTCAGCATCCTAGTGTTCCTCTCTGAACTTCTTGCTTAAAATGAGCAGCTCATTTTTAAAGTGTGTGTGTGTGTGTGTGTGTGTGTGTGTGTGTGTGTGTGTGTGTGTGTGTGTGTGTGTGTGTGTGTGTGTGTGTGTGTGTGTGTGTGTGTGTGTGTGTGTGTGTGTGTGTGTGTGTGTGTGTGTGTGTAGGGTCATTATGATATGATGCTTAAATACTCACATCACCAGGCTGAGGTTAGTCTCTGGGCATCCTGGGAGGTCACAGACTGGCTTTTCAGCTCTTCTGGATGTAGTTCTGCACTTCTCTGGTTAAAACAAACAAGCAGATCATGTTTATTATATATTAGTGTTTATAGTACACACCTGTGATTCTCAGCTGACATCAAAGGCCCCCTAATGCTTTGAAAACTCTGAGACACCCAGATTCGATCCTTACTATTGATTGAAATAAATGAATTTGTGAGAAATGACATCAAGACGAGGTATGTGGGGAAAAGTATTGCACTCTGCCTTGTGACTGATAAAAGGATATGCACATGTATGGATGCTGGCTTCATGATCACTTGTTCTCTGAAGGAGAACCAGGAAGCAGAAGAATAAACTCTATCTCTGAGTCTCCCAGTCTGACACAGCCCAGTTCTGATCAGAATAGATCAGCTGCAGGAAGCCTCACACTTCTTTCTCACATCTTTTGTGGGAAAGCTACAAAACAAAAACACGAAATTTGCAGATTAGCATCTACACAACACTGTACAAAAGAGGTCAATGCTATTTTCTGCATTCCCCTTGTGTTATTCCTGCTCTTCTGTTTATTTCTTCCTTAAATGTTTTTTAGAATATTTCTTTAACCTAAAACCGCATTTCTAATTATAATGAACCAAAACCCTTCAAAGGCTGGAATCAGAAAACGTCTCTTCAGTATGTTAGCATGGCAGCTTGTTGGCTAACTCCAGTCAGAGAGGAGGCTCTGAGACATCTGACCATGATACCAGGAAGATTTGTTTGGTTTCTACAGCTGCATTCTTGTTTCAGCTGTAATACAAGTCAGTGTTTAGGAATAAATGATTAATACAGTTTCATTTAGCTTCACTGTTAGGGGAACAGCAGCAGCTGTTCCCCTAACAGTGAAGCTAAATGTTAGCTAATGTAGCTAATGTTAGCTGGCTAGGTGGACTGTTGGTGGACAAATATAGTACATCAATGTTACGGACCCCTGGTTTTACCCAAGCCCCCAGAATGCGTCTCAGAAATTGGTCTCAACCCGGAAGAACCCCAAATTGCAGTTCCACCCTCATCCACTGGGGGCTGATGTCAGAAGCGAGCAAATCCTCATCGACTCATGTTAAAAATAGCAATTTCACAGCAGAAATAAACATGTTTACAGCCTGGTACGAAAACATGTTTTTGGTTTAAATGATCTAGTTTACACTCATGACAACTCTTGGGGGGGGGGATTTTTTTTCTCACTCTTCTGTTTAAGTGTATTAAAAGCCTAAAATTCTGTATAATTAATGAGCATCAGACCCACGTGACCACAGAGCTAGCTCTGTGGAAAGGCCTCAGTAGAGCCTCAGTCTGGCCTGGAAACTGTTTCGGGATTTTGAGTCTCTGTGATTGTGTATTCTTGTTTGGATATTATTGGTGCAATTGTTGGACAAAATGACTTGCTGTGGCATTAATTGCACTAATAGAGCGTCCAAGGAGTCTCCACTTCATTTTATTCTGTAAGTTAAATTATATTTATGCATTTTAGGTCACTGCCGCCTTCAAACTAGCTGAGTTTATCGAAGTAGCTAGCTAACTATCATTTTAACATGTAGCATGTACTGTTTAACCATGAAATTTAGATGTAAAATACGGTAAAATAATTAATAGGGCATATGTCGATGGGTAAAAGGGTAAAACCCAGTGCATTTAACATAAAAATGGGTTGAAATATGACGTAGCTCTTGGAGGGACACTTCTGTGTTCCATTCTTCCACCCGGTTCTCCCCAGCGGTCAGCCCGGTGCATGTCTGACCGATGTGGCGCCTACTAGCTGCTGCGCGGGCTGACCACTCGTTGAGCTCTCGGACTCGTAGAGAGACCTGACCGCAGAAATACTGCAGCTCAATTCCCTACCTAAATTCAAAGTTTGACAGACGTGGTTCACTTAATTTAGCTAATATCAGTCTGCACTGCCTTTGGGCTGATTTGTCAAAAATGTGGAACGGGATGTAAGGTTAGAATCAGCGGCGAATCGGAACATATCTCGAAGCCCTGGCCGACGAAACGGTCCACATGACTATTACTGTCAGGCTCTGAGAAAATTCAGGTTGTTTTTGTGTCAGTCGGTAATTCTGCAACAGTGACTCTAACTAACGCAGCACTAGTTGACAGACAGCATTACAGCGTGAAATCCAGGTTTACATCACAGCGTGACCTGGTTCTGTAAGGAATTCTGTTCAGGAGGTTGCATTTCAGTCTCTCTCCACATCATATGTGACTGACTTTTACGTTATAACAACGATCACACACTGGGAATGTTATAAAGTGCCTATATCTGACAGTTTCTTTTGTATATTATCTCACTTTATAGACTACAACAACAATGTGCTTCTATTTTTTTTTCAGGCCAAATCTACCCAAGATGTCAGACTGATTTAGTAGTATGCAAGAATGCACTTGTCCAGGCTAACGTGAAGCCTTACCCGTAGCAAAGGTGAATTATTTGTAATAATCGTCTATGTAAACATTTTATTATTACCTTCTAGTTTTAATTTGTTTAGCAGATTATTGTTACTTGTGATTTTATGCTCTTTTAAACATTTATAAATGTGCTGTTTCTTTGTTTTTTATATAGCCAGCCAGTTTAGAGCTCCCAGCTGCTGTGTGTCTTGTGACACAGGGACCATGACAGAAATTCATCTTCCAGAAAGTCTGGCTCATCATTTAGCCAGATTTCTAAGTTATAGGTCAAAAATGTTTAGGTTAGTTTTGATAAGGTCTGTGCATCTCTCATTTCATGATGTAACTTTTCATATTTTAGTTCCTGGGTGCCTTCAATGTGCAGGGACTGTCCAAGCAGACATTCTATCGACATCAGGCAAAGCTGTTAATTCCAACAGTGAGCTGGCAGTGGCAGCTAGAGCAAGCTGATATCATCCAGGAGGCTACTGAATCTGGACCTGTGACTCTTGGTGGTAACATGCGAGCTGATTCACCTGGTGAATACTTTTAAATTTATTTATTTTATTACTTTGCTATCAAATGTAAATTAAGTAATAACTTGCATTTCTGAAGGACACTCAGCCAAATATGGCAGCTACACCATGATGGATCTCAAAAGAAACAAAGTTATTGATATCCAACTCGTACAGGTACAAGATTACCTGATGGAGAACTATGTTTATTTTCAGAGCAATGAAGCTGGAAATAGTGTGCGAATGGAGAAGGAGGGATTTGTGCGAAGTCTGAGCACACTTTTGGAGAGGGGGGGTCGATGTGCAGCAAGTTGTGACTGACCGCCACACATGGGTGCAGAAGTATTTGCATGAGGAAAAAAAAAGAAATCAGTCACTACTTTGACCCCTGGCACATGGGAAAAGGTAATCTTTGGGGATGTATATAGTGAATATTACAGGATTTTTTTTTCTATTTTAAATGTGGGTCTATTTGGCTCTCCAGGAATTGGTAAGAAAATCGAAGAGCTGTGGAAGAGAAAGACGACCCAGGATGTGAGACTGAGGAAGCAGTGTGGTGAACCACCTCTAATGGTCAGAATACCTCTTTATTCCAGATTGGTTCAGCATTTACATGCTAATGTGGCGATACATAACCCAAACCAATAATACAATAACATAAACTCTTACACAAAAGGCTCCTCTTGATAGAGGAAATCTGTTCAGCACATTCTGACAGACAGACCACCTTTCTTCTGTCATGTTGCTGTACAGGACATTTTTAGAGTTTTTCTTTTTAATGATAAATAGTATTACATTTAAAGAGCAATACTTTCACATTATCATTTTCCCACACTTTCTGTATACCAGTATTTTGTTTTTCAATAAAGAATGACAAAATATTTAGTTTTTTAGCACACAAATATCTATCTGTAAGAAATATCTACAAAGCTAATATTTACATAACAAGTATGATTGGGTTGTGCAATACAGCACTCTGTTTATTTTAGTAAGATTTTTAAACCAAGTAAAGTTAGTAAAGAACACATTTCTATTGGCTGCTAAGAAACTGTTGGACTTAAAACAGGCCTGTTGTAGAAACAACTTGGCATAAATGATTCTTCCTTCCTTTTTTGTCTTAACCAAAAAAACTCCAGGAATTGAGCAAAACGTTTATTTTTTACATCACAATTTATAAAATAACAGGACACAAAGTGTCAGGACATTTAAAAAATACTTAAAATAATAAAAGGGGCCCAGAGAGCTGCAGAGTGAGTGGACATTGGGTTGTGAAGGAAGAACAGTTCTCAACAGTGTGATATGAGGATGTAGAAGGTGAAGCCGGTGCAGGTCCTCCTTCATGTTCACCAGATTCACACTGCTGACCACCCCCATGTCATTGCCACCACAGTGGATGAGAAGTACATCAGGAGCTGCTCTTCCATGCATGGAGTTGAAAAAGAAGGGGAGAAGGTCTTTCCACCTCAGTCCGCCCCAACCGAACCAGGAGACACAGATGTCAGGGAGGCCAAGGTTGTCTCCGAGAGTAGCTGCAGCTCTGGGCACCACGCCTCACTCAGCTGTCACCAATGATCCAAATGGCTATGGAGAAAAAAATAACAGGTTTGGCCTAGCTGTTTAAAGTACAAAGCCATACCTGAAGTGGTCAAGACAGGTATTTGGTACTTACACGCTGCTGACGTTGAAGACACACAGGCTGCCATGGTGACCTTTTAACAGATCTAAGAAAAAGATGTAAAATGTAAAAGAATGAAACTTAAAAACTCCCAGACCTCATTTCATGATTGCTAATCAGCTATGGCTGATTTATTGTTTGGATCACAGTGAGTTACACTAATTCTAATATATTTTTATTTCTATTACACATACATACTTTTTAACTGTTATTTTCACATGACTTTATCAGGCTCTCTTGTTCTGGTTCTCATGATAATAATTCTGTTTCCTCCAGTAAGTTATCTTGTGCTTTCTTCATCTGTATAATGTCTCTTTACTTTTGGTGAATTGTACTGAGTCCAGAATAAAGGCTAGTTGCCTGTACAAGATACAAACAAGTAATACGTTTTGGAAATATATGAAATGTATTTAGCCTGCTAATTTATCTCAAATACTAATAACTACCGTATTTTCCGGACTATAAATCACACTTTTTTCATAGTCTGGTCGGTCCTGCTACTCCGGAGCGACTTACATAACAAAACATGTAGGCTACACCGCGCTGCTGCGGGCCGACTCCGACCCAAGAATGAGTTCCCCTGTCCCGCTGGGAGGGTTTCAAACACTGCCTTCCTCTGCTGGAGACCGTGGCACGCTGCTGCGGCGCATTATTCAGTTATTGTTACCGGTACTTGTCTTGCAATGTGAAACGCTTGGTCTCAGATTTTGTAAGAAAAATAAAATTCCCCCCCCAAATACAACTTATATATGTTTTTTTCTTCTTCTTCATTATACATTTAATGGCTGGTGCGACTCAGGAGCGACTTAATAGTCCTGAAAATACGGTACGTGATAAATAGTGAAAACTTGCTCAAAGCAAAATATATTTTCATGACGGAAATAACTTATAAACTTACCGATTTAATATTTTTTATTCACAGAAAGGTACTTCTCATGAAGAAGTGCCTCAAACCTCCACGTGAACTCCATGTGGTCGATGGGTGTTCCACAGAGTTAGCTCCGGTTGTAGCTAGGTGGCTACATTCGTTAGCTCGGCTCCCACCTCCGCGTTAGCTTTGGGTTAGCTTCAGGTTAGCTTGTAGCTAGTTCGACCGGGTGTCGTCAGTTGATCCCAGCCTTACAGCCCCACCCTCAGCTCCACCTCTCTTCCCTTTTTTGGAATTGTCTGGGCTTGATGGAACCTGTGACGCGGTCAAAATGGCGGTGGTGGCCACCTCCCATTTTAGCACAAAAACTTATTGGAGCCTATGGAAATGAATTGTCCAGTATATTTATGTCGATGGTTTTACCACCAGTCTGCCTCCAGTTCAGGACCATGGACAACTCCGCTACACAGTACCTGCCTCAAGTGGTGCTCGCTGCAGAACCACAAAGGTGGAGCTGCACCAGAAGGTGGAGCTGCACCAGGGTCAGCCCCGCCCATTCCAGAGTCAGCCCCGTCCATTCCATCAGAGTCAGTACAATTCCTTCCAGTTGTCAGACTTGATAGCATTCTGGAACCAAAGAGGGTTTTATAGCTAAAAAATACAAGATTGAGGACGGAGGTGAGAAGTTAACTGAACAGTTTTTGTAAAGGTTCCATATAATTAAAAATCTAACTTTTGGAACTTTTTATCATGTTATATTGTCATTTCCTCATAAGAAACACGCCAAAGCCATTTTTGGCCTCATTCATGCATTTTCCTCCCATCTCAGCTTCAATTTGGTCTCCTCCCCTGAAGTGGGTCTGGTCTTGGTTCTCAAATCTGGATATTCTGTGAATTTTCTGACAAATTATTTCTGAAATGACTTCTACTGAGACACCGCCAATAAACCATACATCCCATCTCCAAAGACACACTGGATAGGACAATTACATGTAACGCCACTTACTTTATATCAGATGTGGTGGGGTAGAGGCTATGGAGGCAGGTTTGCATGCAGTTTTGCGCAGGTTCGACTCCCAGTGGCAGAAATCTTAGGTAGGTTACAACCCCTTTTCTTAATTTCTAGCTACACTTGCCAGTACTGTTTACAACAATTTACTGGTATACCGTTTACAATATAATGACTAATGTGTTTATTTATTTATTCGTTTATTTAGCCATTGTGAGTCCATTTGTGAGCAGAGTTTCAACTAAAATGCTGTTTAGGAACGACCAAATTCAAAGAACTTTTAGAGACATAAATATTTTGCTGAAAATAAACATTACAACTAAAATATAAACAAATTCAATGTTTCAGCTGGCTAAATAGATTGATGCCGACCTCACCGAGAATCGAACCAGCATCTGCTGAGGGGGAAGCAAAATTTGCTTAAGATGATCTTACCACTGGACTACCAGAGCACATATGATAATCACCTATGCTGATGCACCACATTATTGTTAGAGCGGCTGTGGGCAGAAATGTGCTAAAAGAAATCGTTTCATTTCAAGATGTATTCAGGCTTTGTCATGTAGCAAGTTATATTTATCTTGTTTAATTGGAGCATAGAACATAGCATTAACATTTGTAAAGTAGTAACAGCCATAATTCATGTGGGTCAGATTAGTTTGCGATGAAGTTGGAAAACAAAAACGGAAGTCAGTGGGCTAGGCTGAGTTTGCGTGAATGGGCGGGGCTGACCCTGGTGCAGCTCCACCTTATGGTGCAGCTCCGCCTTTGTGGTTCTGCAGCGAGCACCCTCTCACCTGCCTGGGCTCTTCCTTCCAGCACCATGGAGAGCGACGCCCCGTGAACTCCCTTCAGCTACAGCTGATGCCCATCACCAGCTGCAGCCTATTTAGGAGAGATTTTGTTTGTAGACAGAGGAGGAGAAGCAGGAGGGGAAAACAGGAAATGAGTGAAAGCAGAGAGGCTAGAAGCTACCTGGAAAGCTCGAGGGCAGATTTTGAGAGTTAACTGCGAATAATTACCAGAACCAGATAAAAGGCAGTTGCTGCAGTCCAAAGCCTGAATTATGGGCTTGACACATGGGAGGCTACAAACAACTGTGATCAGCGAAATTTGTCGCCGTCGCTTTTATTACCTGACACACGGGAGGCGAGTTTAAAATGCCAGAGAAAAACTTATTTTCTGAGAAACTTCTCATAAAAATGTCACAGTGTGGTGTCCTTCCTTCTCCAATCTGCAGTCTCCAATGTCTGAGGCCTTCTGGTTTAAACCAACCAATCAGCAAGCAGCTCATGAGCATGTTCATGTTCTGGTCATGTGGAAGGGGTAAACAGCTCTTTTCACTGCAAGGCTGTTTTAAGGGTTTAGAACGGCCTGTATCCGCGTTCCTGGGACAGATGAAAGCCAAAAGAAAATTTCTTCTGCTTCTTAGAGATTCAAAGAACTGTTTTAGATGCTGATAAACTGCATTATTTGTCACCTTTAAGAGTATTTTTAGAGTTGCTTTGCTCATAGTTTATTTTGGTTTTCATTGTTTAGGTGAGTCACCTCCTAACTACAGAGTTTTTCATCTTGGTTGGGATGCTTTTTGTAATAAACTGGCTTAAACATCATTGTTTGAGCCTTATGAATCTTTCCCCAGAGATGGGAAATTGTGGCATCAACAAGTCGTCTCCATGTCGTGTTTTTGTTCCGCTCAGCAACAAAACCAGGTGATTTCAATCAGCACAGTCATTTGACCTGGTTCAGTTGCTGAGCAGAACAAAAACACCACATGGAGACGACTTGATGAAGCCAAAATTCCCATCTCTGCTGAGAACAGCTGTGACCCTGAGCCGGATGAAAAATTTATTTAAAGCAATTTTTTTAAGTGATACTTTTGTTTTGTGAATGGTTTTCTGGTAAAACAAAGAAAATATAGAAATGAAAATTTGCTAATTTGTGTAAAAGTGTAAATGCTGATGTGATGGAAGGCTTTAAAAAAACAGAAGTTAAATGAAATAGAAGGCAGGGATGGAAATTGTGGCTTCAACAAGTTATCTCCATGCATGGAGCACTGCAACTCTCTTTTCATGTGTCTGAGCAAAACGTCCCTGAACCGTCTACAGGTGGTTCAGAAGGCCTGTGCTCAGCTTCTGACCAAGTCCTCCAAACACACCCACATCAAATCAAATCAAAAATCAAATCAAAATTTATTTATGAAGCAATTTTCATGCAAATGCAGCTCAAAGCGCTTTACAATATTAAAAACAACCAGACAGCAGTCGGTTTCCCACCCCTCCCACACAGATTCACAAAAGAGATCCCCTTTGTTTCTCCCTCCTCCCACCCTCAATCCCATCCCAAGCAAATGCAAAATCCCGCACGCACACACACACACACACACACACACACACACACACACACACACACACACACACACATGCATGCACACACATAATAAAGAAAGGACAGCTGGCTGAGTGCAGATGTAATATATATAAAGAAGACGAAAACGCCATCAAAGGAGCCAACTGCACCAGGAGCACCAAGACTGGCAGCAATAGCCTTGGTAAAAGTAGGCAAATGAAGCACCCTGGCCGCCAGTGTCCACCGCTGCCCCCGGGGCAGCCGGCCCCCACAGAAGAAACACTAGTTTACTAAGATAACAGCTAAGAAACTAAATAAACATAAACAGCTGATGAATAAAAATCTAAATAAAACACAGTGATAAAAGATGACCAAGTAGAAACTTATAATTACATTTATAAAATATGGTACAACAAAGTATTAAGACTGGTTAAAACTAATAATTATTACAAGTTAAAATAAATATGTAAGAAAATATGTTAGTTAATTAAGAGTAGTAAGTAATAAAACACTGATAAAATATATGTTAAAAAGAAAGAAAGAAAGAAAGAAAGAAAGAAAGAAAGAAAGAAAAAGGTAAAAACTGGCTAAAATAGATCAAAAAGCTGTACTAAAAAGGTGAGTCTTGAGCCTGGCCTTAGAAACAAGAACACTCTCTACAGCCCTGAGGTCCTCTGGCAGACTGTTCCAGAGGCGAGGGCCATTAAACTGGAAGGATGCCTCGCCTTGGGAGTGTGTCCTGACTTTTGGAATGACGAGGAGATGGTTGCCAGAGGAGCGCAGGGCCCACAAAGGCTTGTATTTATGAAGCAGTTATGAGAGATAAGGCTCAAGACCATAAAGACATTTAAAAACCATTAAAGGAACCTTAAAATCAATCCTGAATTGTACTGGAAGCCAATGCAGCTTGTTTAAGCATGGTGTAATGTGCTCCTGCCTCCTGGTCTTAGTCAGGACACGAGCTGCTGAATTTTGTAGGAGCTGTAAACCTGAGGTACTCTTTTTGGGAAGACCAGAAAGCCGGGCATTACAGTAATCAATTCTACTGGCGATAAAAGCATGCATCAGTGTCTCTGTGTTGGCCAGAGAGAGAAAGGGGCAGACTCTGGCGATGTTTTTCAGGTGATAAAAACCTATTTTTGTAATATTCTTAATGTGGGGAATTAAAGTTAGCTCAGAGTCAAAAATCACACCCAGGTTCTTCACTTGAGAAGACAAATTAAGAGTTAGTGACTGTAGCTTTGGTAAAAGTTTCTCTCTCTGGGTCTCAGGACCAATGACTAAAACTTCGGTTTTGTCCCGGTTAAGCTGGAGAAAGTTTTCTGACATCCAGGATTCAATATCCGGAATACAATTAAAAAGGGCATCCAATGGTCTTGCGTCATCGGGAGACACAGAGATGTACAACTGTGTATCATCTGCATAACTGTGAAATTGCACTCTGTGTCGTCGGATGACGCCACCAAGTGGAAGCATATACAGATTAAAAAGCACTGGGCCTTAAAATCGAACCCTGGGGCACACCACAAGTAATCTCACGGGTCTTGGAACAGAAGGTATCTAGACTTACCATAAAAGTCCTGTCTGTGAGATATGAAGTAAACCATTTATGGACAGCACCAGAGAGGCCGATGTGTTTTAACCGGTTTAAAAGAATGTTGTGGTCCACTGTGTCAAAGGCAGTCCTTAAATCCAGTAGAACCAGAACCGTCACTTTCTGTGCATCATAATTTATTCTTACGTCATTCAAAACTCTGAACAGTCTCAGTCTCAGTGCTGCGGTTTACTCTAAAACCAGACTGAAATTTCTCAAGGACATTATGTGCGATAATAAAATCATTAAGCTGTTTTAAAACAAGCTTTTCTAAAATTTTACTTAAGAATGATAAGTTAGATATCGGTCTGAAGTTGTTAAAATCAATAAAATCTAAGTTTCTCTTCTTCAACTGGTGCCTCACCACTTCCCCTTTAAAGGCAGCAGGAAAGACCCCTGTTTGAAGAGAACAGTTCATCATGGTTAAAATCTCATCTCTAAAATAATCATAAAATGGCTTAAAAAACGAAGTAGGAACTGGATCTAAAAGACATGTGGTGGGCCTTACTGAAGAGAAAACTATCTAGAGTTTCAGCCTCAACCAGGACAAAACTGTCTAGTGTTTCCTCTGGTAAAGGTACACACTCAGATTTCGATAAAACCATGTCACTGTGAGAGGATAAAATGTTGCATCTGATTGTGTGTACCTTCCCTCTGAAGTGGTCTGCAAACTCCTCACAGAGAGAAAGTTTGATGGTGTTTCCTGAGATGCATCAGCGTTTTTTATTGATAGTGGAAAACAGGATCTTAGGATTATTCTTATTTTCTGAGATAATTTTGGGGAAGTATGCTTACCTTGAGTTCCTTACTGCGTTATTGTATGACTTTAGAGTTTCTCTGTACATCTGATAGTTTATAGTGATTTTGTTCTTCCTCCATTTTCTCTCTGCCACCCTGCAGTTCCTCTTTTGTGTTCTGAGAGCTTTGTTTCTACATGGGAATGTAAGTCTAGGCTGTATCTTTTAAATTTTTTGTGGGGCCAGACGGTCAAGGGTGGACTGAAGCCTGCTGTTAAAATTGTTCACTATAAAATCACAGGGAGCAGGTAAAGCAATAGGAGGTATCTTTTCTAAGTTATCAATAAAACCTGCAGCCACTTCAGGGGTTAGATGACGTTTCCTGACAGTTCTCACAGAGATCTCCTGCTGGGTGAAACCGGTGATATTAAAAAAAACACAATAGTGGTCAGAGACAGCCAAATCAACAACAGAGAGCACACGAGTAGACAGGCCATGCGTAATGACCAAGTCTAGGGTGTGCCCCCTGTTGTGAGTTGGCTGTGTGACATGTTGGCTAAAATCCATATAATTAAGAATATTTTAAAAATTGGTCGATAAAGGGTCTAAAAGATTATCCACATGTAAATTAAAATCACCAGCTAAAATTATTTGGTTGTAAGAGTTGTGTAAGTTTGATAAAAACTCTGAAAATTCTTCTATAAAAGATGTGCTATTTTTTGGAGGTCTGTAAACTGTGACACATAAAATTTGAGGAGTTCCAAAAACAGCTGCATTATATTCAAAAGTGCTAAAATTATCAAATGAAACAGGTTTGGCGGTAAGTGTTGCTGAGATTATAAAGGCAGTACCACCTCCCTTTTTGGTGCTCCTTGTAGAGTAAGTAAAATAAAAATTTGGTGGGGAAACCTCTGTGAGAACAACAGGGGCATCTGCACTCAGCCAGGTCTCTGTTAAAGAAAAACCGTCCAGGTTGTGATCTAAAATCAAATCATTAATAATAAAAGTTTTATTCAGCAGAGAGCGGACATTTAAAAGTACCATATTAATGGTAACTGGAGAGTGTGTGTGTGAAAGTGGAACTACTGGTAAGTGTTTAAGATTACTGTGGTTGCGTTTGTTTGGTTTATGGCGATTAGGCTGCTCTCTGCTGATAATGACAGGAATTAGTGAGCTGGTGTGAGGTCCAAGTCCAATAAATGAGTAACTGTTAAAATCATAGCTGGAGTCATAGGAGCAGGGACCAGCTGGACATCAGGGTGTGGTTGAGTGGGAGGACGGGGTGGAGAGGGCGGGTGCATCAGGGCATGGCGTTGTGGATAGTGGTGGTCATGGACATGCCAAACTCATTGCCAGGGCACGGGTACCCTGTCTATGTAGATGGAGCCCGTCTGCCCCAAACAGGTGCCTCCTGCCCCAGAAGATGTTAAAATTATCTATAAAACCAATGTTGTGCATCACGGTAGCTGAGGAGAGCCAAGTGTTCAAAGATAAAAGTCTACTAAAATGACCAATTCCTCTGTCAAGGGTGGGAGTGGGCCCAGAGATATAAACAGACACATGTGAGATTTTTAAAAGGTTAACAAGGTGAATAAAATCACGCTTCAGAAGCTCAGATTGCTGCTTGTTGATGTCGTTAGTTCCAGCGTGGATACAAACCTTACTCACATGTGGATGGAGAGCAAGGAGACCAGGGATTTTTGCAGCAATAGCCATTACCGTTGCTCCAGGGGAGAACAGAGTGAGCGCTCCTCTCATTCGTACATTCCTGACGATAGAATCCCCGATGATGAGCGTGGTAGGCGTGTCAGCATGCTGACCGCTTCTCCTCCAGCTTCACTGGCTGCCAGTCAACTTCAGGGTTCATTTTCAAGATCCTGGTTCTGGTCTATAGAGCCTTACATGGACAAGCACCATCATACATTGGTGATCTTCTCAGTCCCTACACCCCCAGCAGGTCCCTGAGGTCCAGTGATCAAAGTACTGGTTGTGCAGCACCAGGCTAAAGACCAAAGGTGACAGATCATTTGCTGCTGTGGCCCCCAGACTCTGGAACTCTCTCCCCCTGAGCCTGAGATCAGTGGCCTCAGTGGTCTCCTTTAAAAAGCAGCTGAAAACTCACCTGTTCAGGCTTTGGTGGGACCTCCACTGATTCTGTTGATTCTGGTAATTTATCATTTATATTTATATAGTGTGTTATTTATAAATAGATAAACACAATACTAAAATGAAAGAAAATGCATATAAAGAAACAAAACCCAGAGAATCCACAGTTTGATTTCCATTGATATTCCAGTCAACAGACTAAATAACTATAAATGATAAATTACTAGATATTACTGCATACCTTGCATACAATATCACCTTAAAATAAATACATATTTCATTTGGTATGCAAACTTTGTTTATGATTTATTCGCACACCTTGGCGCCGTGGTCTAGTTCTGATCTGTTGCCTGTCCCAGCACAGTTTAGCTTACTAGCCTTAGGAGGGTTACATGAATGAGTTAAACACAAATAAATTAACCAAAAGAAACACAGATCATGACAATAGGTAATTTTTTATCATTATAGTCATTTGTGATAGTTATGTGAAATTTTACAATAACATCAGAT